ATGCTTTATACAGTTAGTTGTCCACAAAATATCAGGAATGCGATATTTTGACCAGTTTCGGCTATTTGTCTTTTGCTTATTTTATGCTTATTATTTTTTTATAAAAGTCTAGCTGGTTTTACAATAAAAAACAATTAAATTCAGATTTCAAACTTTGTACAAAAATTATAAAAATACCTCAAATTTTCAGCAAAATTTCAATCCTTTTAATCAGATCTATAGAAAATTTTAATATGAATACCCTCTGAAGTAAGATAACTGTTTACCCAGAAGAGAAGGATAAAATTATGCCCTGGAACAAAATAATATATCAAATTGGTGTAGGTGTTCAGTAGTATGCAGTTTTGTAGTCATTAAATTCTAGTCTGATGATGTGCAAGTTTCAAGTTGGTAAAAAATCCCGTTGATTGAGAATTTTTTTGGTTGATTATACTTCTGTATAACCCACTTCCGATCGAAACCGGAAGTCGTTAATACAACGAAAAGATAGAGTATCCCCGACCTCGTAATTCATATTTTTTCGATTTCCAATAAAAACATTTTCACTTATTTAAGAAGTCCTGGACGAATTGAAGTTCAAAGGTTGAAAAAGGCATTTCTGGGAATAAAGTTTCGAAAAAAGTTAGATATTTTTATGCTCATAATTCGAATATATGTAGTAAAAACACGTATGTCTAATGAAAAAAAATTTAATTCTCGTCAGTTTAACCCACTTCCGGTCGAAACCGAAAATCTGTTATATCACCAACGGAGAGAGCATCCCTGATTTGATAAGTATTTGCGTTTTTCAATAAAAAAAAAAAAAAACATTTCCCTCCATTTTCAAGTGGGTGGACAAAACTGCTCACAATGAAATGGGAAGTCTATTAAGCCATGTCTGTCTATACGCCCGTACGTCCATCTATCCGTCCGTCCGTGTACACGCTTACTCGAGAAAAAATTTAAATATGTCAACGAACTTAGGTAAGGGCACTGCTTTGCCTTTATCCAGGTTGGTAAAATGGATACAATCGACCTATAACCAGGCCCATCTCCCATATAACGGTATTGTGTTGAAAGTAGGAATGTGAAGTAAAATGTTGACTTAAAATAAGATAGTTATACAATGTTCGCTCTGTAGTCACTTTACCAATCCACACCAAACTCGGTGCGGACATTACTTTGAGCAGGGGTGGCGAACCAAAGCACGCGTGCCATTGATGGCATGGAGCAAAATACTTGGGCAACGGTATTAATTGAGGACCCAATTCCTCAATTACTAATACATAGTAGTTACTACATAATCGAAACAGTTTCGTCAGAAGTGCCAAAAATACAGACATTCGATTGTTGAGTTCCAGTGCATCATTCTTCAACATGCTTTGTGTGAAAGACGTAGTTTCGCTTCCGTTGTAATATAATGGGCTGCAAAGTTTATGGTTTTTAAGGATATGTGCCAGCAATTATTGAATCTGAACGCAAAGTTTCAAGGCGCTAATAAAACTGTTATAATTAAAATAAATCTCATTCGCGCTTTTGAAAGTTTGTGGTAAAGATATTGTTTCCAAAAATTACAAATGTTTCCAAACTTAAAGTATTTAAAATCCGATTTGGACTTACATGAAAAAGCAGTCGGAGAAATAGGCGCCGAAGGATTTTCTGTGGTAATAAACTCTGTCTTCGAAAAATTTTCAAAGAGGTTTTCTAAATTTAAGGAGTTATGGGAAACACCCATCTATCCTGATGTGTGAATTCACTTAAAAAACCGAACTTGTCTAAATTTGATTGGTTGGATATAGAGGAATTTGAAATGCTGCTGATTGAGTTCCAGTGTAATTCAATATGGACTAAAAACTTTGTCGAAAAAGGAAAGAGGTTGGAATCAATCGAATTAGAAATACCATCAGTCAATTTGTCCAAAAATGCTAATACCAAAATTTTAGAAACTTGAATTCAATTCCACACATAGTAATTAGCTGTCTGCGAAAACTGGTGTTTGCTATCTTGACAATGTTTTCACAGAGACCTTTAATAGACGCATTATTCGTTCTTTAAAAAAAAATCCGATTTATGTGTCAATTAATGTCTCCAAGAACGGCGATAAGTCATGATTTCTTGTTGGCACGTCATGGCTATATTGAATATTTCTGTGAAATCAATGCCACGTACTATATGTATAAAGGACCCGTTGAAAAATTTTGAAATCAGACAAGAAAACGTCCACCTCCCAAAAAAAAAATTAGACTAAGGGAAATTTTTAGAAAATGGGTGTGGCGCCGTCCACTTACGCCTGCATATCTGTATCTCGGTAACCGGTTTATCAGTTCTACAAAACTCGGTACAGTTATTAACCTTGTATGTTAAAATTTTTAAGATAAGATTAAAGTCTACGACTACTTACCATATGTGTATTTCCAAACTGGCGCACAGTGCTTCGACTATATGGAGGCCGATGGAAATAATAGTACACCTGCACCGATTTCACTGAAACTTGACATGTGCTCTAGTTTTACTTAGAAATAGAGAATTGTGAAATTTTGTAAAGATGGAATAATTGCCACGCCTTCTACTCTTGTGGGCGGAAAAGTTTAAGACTTACAACAGTACGACAGTATACAACACTTTGTGAACTCCCTATTAATGTGAATATTTTATGAAATGTATTCAAACTGTAACAGGGAACATTTAAAAAAATAACAAATGTTTTGTAAATTTTTTCATTTGTATTAAAAGCCTTTCTTTTACGAAAAAATCAAGCTACTAAGAATAAGTAAAAGAATGGTGAATAGGGAAATGAAAATGAGAAGTACATGACGTATGCGTAACATTTTCCGACATTTTGATTTTTTTTTTTAATATTTTCATAATCTATAGCTTTTTTTAAATTCGTCCGCCATATCTGCCGTTTTGAATTCCGAAAATTTAATATGATATTCGTAATCAATGACCTGGAGCTAATTGTATAGATTTTTAAACTTCTCTTATGTACACCCCGCTTCACTTGAATAAGTACACATATTTTTCTCAAAATCCAAGCTTGTACCTGGACTTGTGGGCATCAGGGGAGTTTCTTGTTGATCTCATTTGGAAGATTAATTCATTTCGAAGAAAAGTCTGGAAAATGAAGAAAATACATCACTTACTTTGGGTTTTATTCCACTTTTTATTAAACTATTCTAAAATTGTGCTTATTATTTTGATTCACTTGAATAGGCACCTTATATGTTTAGCAAAGTTATTAAAATTTCGCTTAAAACCTTTTTAAGAATTAAAATGCAAAAAATGCATAAATGGAGGTCTTCACAGATCCAGGACTTTGCAGGCGATCAGTTGGAAATAAAAGTGAAGGAAACGCAAATATTTTTGACAGCTGAAGCCGGCTCACAGCATTGCATGAAAATAGGCTGAAATGCAGCCAGAACACAAAAGCTAGACGTCTCTTTTACGACGTCAGCATCTTATTGTCAAGATAGTGGACCAAATGACACCACAAGGGAAGTATGGATTACTCTATACATACATTTGTGTTCAGAAAATGTCCGAAAAGACAAATTTTATTATACAGCCTTAAGAATTATGACTGGAATGTTTTGCAACTCACATGCCTGAAAGGACAACTAGAAAATGGTGGGCTTATCTGGCGAAATGCTTAAGTTTGATGACTGCAATGAATTCAATTTTTCAAAAGACGGACGTTGTTTGTTTCCCCTCCATGATCAAGAAGAGAGTATGGCGGTTTGAACTGCGATTTTGTAGTCCAGAGCGGTTGTGAAAGTGAAATTCGTATTATGAGCAATGCAAACGTGTCGAAATTTTCGTTGAGTATGGAGTTTTCTGTCGAACAGAATTTTGCTTTCGATGGTGTAGCGAAATGTTAGAAAATTTAAAAAAATGTATGATTTTGCATTTGTTTTCTTACTTTTTAGCGGCTAGACACTAATTTTAAAAAATTTTTATTAATTTTATGCAGTTCTAACGTTGTGAATACTAAACACAAGCTCGGAACGCTGGTTTTACGTGTGAAAGAAAATCTCAATACTCAGTTGGCACGATCTCTGAGAACAAAATCATAGAGCTGTTTATAGTTTTATTATATTTTATATAGATAGGATCACAAAATTTCTTAAATATGTATGTCAAAATATATTCGAAAGGCTACACTTAAACTCTCTTAAACGTTTTCTGCTCCTGGCCAGTTTTCTAAGCTCTCAACGTCTGACGAATCGTTCAATCAGAACTCCGTTGTGCTAATTTTACCGCGTTTTTATAAACTCGCTATCTTTTTTATTTCATTTTAATTTGCACAAATTTACATAAATATGTAAAGCAGACTATTTAGTTTGCTCGATTTGTAAACAAAGCTTGTCAGCGGCGAAAAATATACTATTGTGAACAACCTCATCGAATGAGCGCCAAAATACGAAATAAAAAATTCGTTCGATCAGCACTTTCGACCATAGTCGAAAATGGAATGCAACTCATAATAGGGGCCAATATTTCAATTTTCGAAAATTACGAATAATTCATGCAAAAACAAGTATTAAGGACATTTTTTTAACATTTGTCGCATATTTTCGCACCTTGTTATTGAATATGCTAGCGAAATTCGCACTACAGGAGGAGTAAAAACGAGGATGGCGAAGCAAAGTCGTAATTTTCTCAGAGCTTGTCCTATTCACACTACCACTTTTCTATTTAATTGAACATTCTTCAATATGAGATCAAAAAGAAACTTTTCCGATGGCCAAAAAATCCAGATATAAGTTCAGATTTGAGGAAAAATGTTTACCTATTCAAGTGAAGCGGAGTGTATGTACTATGTATGTTAAAAACTTTTAAACTTTCCACTCAGATTTGTTTCATTCTTCATATATGTATGTACATAACACATTCATATTTCAACTTATGCATAACCAACATTTTCCAGCATACTTATCTGTATTTTCTCTTTTATATGTCTTTTTCCATGCACGCTTATCTTTAATGTTTATCCGCTTCTCCGAAACATTTACGCAACTCAGTATTTCTGAATCCATCCGACTTTGATTATCTACTTACAAAAGGCAATAACAGCGCGCCAATTGATCGTAGTTCGATTTTATTGAAATTCGATCCATTACTCGGTGTGCCAGTACCTGCAAATCAAATCCAACAACTACCAGCAAAACAATCGCCACAAATATTCCAATTGCTGGGCAATAATCTAGCCAATCTAGGTCCTACAATCGAAGAGGACGAACACTCATCATCGGCGTCCTTATCATCGAATAGCAATAATCAATCCTTTGTTGTTGAGGCAGAAAATAAGCGTATATCGCTCGGTCTTAACCTACTGAACGAAAGCTGTGCCAACGCGAAGCAAACTTTTACTAAAGTTTCAACTGAAAAACAGCCAATTAAGGAACAGAAGCAACAACAGCAGCAAGTAGTAAATTCAAAGGTGAATTATCTAATTTGAAGTTCGCATTATTTACTTTGATAATTTATTATTTCTTTATTTGACAGAAGCATGCCAGTATGAGTGTCGACGTGATTAAGGATATGAATATCGATAACGATTGCAACAAATCATTTGAAAATTCAAAGTAAGCAAATGTTGATTTTGTTTTGTTTTGTTTGTTTTAGATATGAAACGAAAAGCAAGTCTTAAGTTCAGTCAGTTTTTTCGTTGGTATCGATAACACGGTGTACAAAATTAAGAAAACTCGCGAACCTTTTAAGTAGTTTACAAAACTGTTTAGAAACTTTCTACACGCCTGAAATTTTCAACTTATTCCGAAAGAAGCCATTTTAGTATGACTTCTCGGGCTAAACAATTTTGTGAATGAGTCGTTTGTTAGGCAATTTTAAGTGTAAATATGGACTTAAAAAGAATGTTTAGAATTGTTTATTAAAGCAGAAGCTTAGCAAGAATGGGAAATGTGAATTAAATCTCAAACTTACGCCCTTTTTTCCTTTGTAATATAAACACCTTTTACTAACGGTCAAATCTTGAAAAGAACACTAAACCCTATTGGTTAGAATCAAGGGAAAATGGTAATATTTTTTAGGTGGAGGCAATCCCTTTTCATAATTTTACAAAGAAAATGGCAAATATGGTTCAGGCATAATGAATTGAATATGTGCTTAATTAAGAATAAAATGTTAAAAAAAAAATCTGATAAAATGATAAAAACATAACATTGATTTAAATTTTAAACTAACAGTCAGTCGCAAGGGCCGCGTGAACGTGCCATTCGAGAGGTCCGAGTTCGAATCCTCCGGCAGCGGATTTTTTCCTAGTGTTTTCTTTTTTTAATTTAATTTTCTTTTCATGTTTGGTTTAAAAAAAAAAATGCATATGTTTTTTAATTTCATTTAATTTTTAGAAACTTTTTATTGACTCCTTTGATTTAATTTTCAGATTTTACTGTTTTAAGAATAAAAAACATTTTTTTTAATATCATTTAATTTTTAGATTATTAAAAAAAAAAATGTTTAAATTTAATTTAATTTTTAATAACTTATTTTTTTATCTTTCTCAATTGATTTTTTTTAATTTTTTGATTTTATTGTTTCAAAAAGAAACATTTGTTTAATGTAATTTCATTTAAAAACTTATTTTATAAATTTCTCCTTTTGTAATTGATATTAATTTTCTGGCTTTATTTATTTATTTATTTATTTATTTATTTATTTATTTGGTCTACAGAATATTTTCTTACAGACAAATGAGAATAGAACATTTAGATATTTAAGTATGTGTGGTATATTACAGAATTGACTAATTATACATAGTAATTTATAATAATAATAATAATAACATAAAATAGCAGGTTTGGTAGCTGGCGAGGCCCAGTCTTCATTGTACTTTTGTGTGCGGCGGGCGGAAAGACCTAGTTTCCGCTCCACGCTGCGGACAGCCTGTTGATCAAGGTCGGTAAGGCCGGGTTTCCGATCCATGTTCCCGAAGACATTACTTTGTATGTGTGGTAGGCGGAAAGCTCTGGTTTCCGCTCCGCGCTATGAACAAGCTGTTGATCATGGTCGGTAAGAACGAGTTTCCGATCCATGATCCCGAAGTCATTACTTTGATTGTGTGGCAGGCGGAAAGCTCTAGTTTCCAATCCGCACTGTGGACAAGCTGTTCAGCATGGTCGGAAAGAACGAGTTTCCGATCCATGTTCCCGAAGTCATTACTTTGAGTGTGTGGCAGGGGGAAAGCTCTAGTTTCCGCTCCGCGCTGTGGACAAGCTGTTGATCATGGTCGGAAATGCCGAGTTTCCGATCCATGCTCGTATTGTATTACGCGGTCCCGAAAATATACGAAGCCGATTACAATTGTACTAAGCAGTCATAGATATTGTGTAATTTATCGTTCCCGGTTAAAGATATTAATTTATTTAGTTACAAAAAAGCGAATACTTACTTCTCTTTTAATTTTTGGTTTTTGTTTTAATAACGCTAAGACCTCCTAGTTCGCGGATCTTTTAAATAAGTCTTTCGAAAGACAGAAAAGCGCTTTGAAGAAAGTTGACTGAATTGACAATTACCTAACGAGAGACTTTTTCTTTCGAAAGACAGTGGGGAGTTGAAAGGCAGTTGCCAGAATTGAACCGTAAAACTGCTTGACAAATATCTGAAGTAAAAAAGTGTTATTTCGGTTTTGTATAAACAAGTTGAGATTTTCAGGGTAACGAACAAAAGTTTATTTTCTCTGTTTCACTGTGCAATTGACCCCATAACTTTAGCATTAATATTTCACTATGAGCCTGCAGTTCTCAGTTGATAGCATATCGTCGTTTAAAGTGCAAAACCGCGTATCAACAAAATGCAAAACCGCGTATGTGAAGTTGTAGAAATTATTTTCTAGAGCGTAAAAACTCTCATATTTCAAAATGGTTCTCTTTTTTATAAAGCAATGCATCTCTGGCTAGTATATTTCAGTACGAATGGATAAGGATTGAGCCAAGAGCTTGGGTGAGCCAATTTTTGGCAGCCAATGTCAGTTACGCGGTTTTGCAGAATCACGATACGCGGTTTTGTACTTTAAATGACGATATGTATGTAGATAGCAGATTTTTATAGTTTATGCTGTTTGCACCACAACAAAAGTCTTCATTTTTAAACCGTTAGGGAAAAATTATTATTTACCAGTCGATAAAAATTTTGTTACTGTAGGCTTGAAGATTTCTTATTTTCTTCTGTAGTCATGCGTAGTTTGATAATTCATTCCCTGGCCATTTCGCTAAATAATATAAATAATATTCGTTGTCGCCTTTTTGGTTACTCCTTGAAAGCCCATTTCAACAATTCTTTATTTCTTTTGTTGTTACAACATAAAAATTCCCCCAAGTAGTTTTTGGCGAACGATGCTGGAATATATCTGAATTTTTCCGGTTATGTGTACCCGACTGCCGTGGGAACCACCATAAACACATCTCTGTGCGCGGTTGAATTTCTTTAATAGGGATAGTGTACACATATAGCACATTTATTAAAAAAAAAGATCTAGTATAACTATTCACTCATTAAAACCATTTTAGTCATTATTAAGTTGTTTATATTTCATTTATGCCACAGCTCACAAACCGATGAGAAACAAATTAATTACAAGATGGATGAACTCGAGAAAAAAATTAAAAATGAAGTGTAAGTGCGTTTTTATGATAAATGTAATAAATTCAAGCTCAATTTAAGCACTAGCGCCACACAATTTCTTGTTATGCTAATTAGTGTAGGTGTATCTTAAGTGTTTGCAAATATGTTGGATAAAATGTTTTCGTTGCTAAAAAAAATATATATATCTTGCTTTATAAGGCATGTTCGACCTTGCTATTTTTTATACATAAATACATTTTTTCGTCAAACTTAAGTCCAAAATTTCATTAATATGCATTTCCTAACATAGACTCAAAACGGAAGATATCGAAAAGAAACTAAAAGAAGCTGAGCAACGGGAGGAGGCGTTAATCAAGCGGATAACAGAAAAAGACAAAACAATAACAAAAATGACGTAAGTGCTTAATATGCTAGCGCCCACTCGCAATTTTTCTCTTCATACAATTATGCCATATTCGTAGTTTTACGAAATGTTTATTTCCGTTATGCATATATGCATGTATAGGTATGTATGCAAAAAGTCAAATTTTGTATCTTTTTTTTTATGTAGCGGTGTTATTGAAGCATACGAAAAAGCGATTGCTGAGCTAATCGCCGAGAAAGAGCAATTAATACAAAGCTACGAGAAACAACTGGCGGAGGTGAAGGCGGATCGCGACTCAAATTATCAGCATCTCACATCTCTCGAAACGACATTTGCCGATCTGCATGTGTAAGAATACAAAGCACATAGTAGTTTTATTTTATTTTTTACTGATTACTGACCTCTATGTAATCCTTTTTTCAACATTTTCAAACAGTAAATATGGCAAAAGCAAGGAGATGACACTACAGCTGAAGTCAAACGAAGAAGCTTTGGTGGCAGAAAAGCGACAAATACAGGAAAATTTGCGATTACAAGGGCAGCGTTATGACAAAATGAAGAATCATGCGATGCAACAGTTGGAAATGTAAGTACACTTGCTTCCATTTTTTTTTTTTACTTATACAAATATGAATGTAATAACTCTAACCGCATCGATTGTTATTAAACAGTGCCAACAAAAAGCTTGAATCGCTTACCAAGGAGCACAATATCGAAACGACAAAACTGAAAGCATTGCTCAAAAAAAGAGGAAATATCACGAGCCTCAATCAACGAGCAGCTGCAACAGAAGTCGCGAGAAAATGCGGAGTTGGTTAAGATATGTGATGAACTAATTAATGGACAAGGAAGTTAAGTGGTTTGAACGCAAGGCGCCCCCCCATCAAAATATAGACGTCAGCACAGCGACCTATCCACAGTTCTGTCGCATAGTTTTTGTTGACGTGCATATATGTATGTACATGTGTACTCTCGCTCGATGTACTATGTGTTTATTGTAATTGTAATGTAAGGCCAAAGAGCGAGCGAAATGGGGCATAGCATTGCATTACATTACAATTAACTGTTAGTTAACGTTATTTAAGTTGCCTGATTAGCATGCAATGACGGTGGTGACATATGCATATATGTATGTATGCACGCGTGCGTGCTTTCAACCCACTCGTTGCGCTTAGGAAATGCATTCATTCAGTTCGCAGTCATTCACAAACGTCTGTGTGATTAATTTAAGAAATTGCTCTCATTTTAAATATAAACTATAGTTATTATAATTTTTTTCACTCATTACTCTCCAACGCTTACATTCACATCTAATTTTCTTCTTTTTTACTTCTTTGCTACATATATAGTAATTGTTAAGTAATTTTTTGTATGAAAATGGAAAAGGAATATGTAAGCAAATGCATTTTAAAACAACTGCAGATAACTTCAATCAGAAAACAATATACATATATACAGACATTTAATCATAAATATTACCTCGGTACATAGTAAACATACGTGGAAGGAGGCATATAAAAAAATAAAATGATTATATGTTAGTTATTGTATGTAATGTAATGTAGTTGTAACTGTATACGCTCTTTACAATTTGCTTAGGTATGCTGTGAATCTACTAATATGAATTTCTCTCTTCAAAGAAAACTAACTGTAAAATCTCTTTAAATCGTAATTTGCTTATTAAAATCAAAATGTTAAGAATTAATTTATACTGAACTGTATTAATACGTAGGCAGTTAAATCGCTTTTAGTTTTCTACATCCACCAACCGAGACTAAAATAGCAAATAATTGAAAAATAAAATCGAAATAATTTAAAAGTAATTGGCATTTTATAAATGCGCTTATAATTATTTTATTCACTTTTTTGGATGCCAAACACATTTTGCTCGAATAAAACTTGGCATATAAAAGCCGAAAATAATGGATTTAGAATTCATACAAAAGTATGGATCCTTGTTCGTAACCGCATGCTGCCGCATAAGTGCAGAGAAACGTTATCTTTTATTTCTAAACTATAATTTATGGAAGTGTTCGAATCTAGGGCCTAAATCGGAATTTTACCCAAATGAACATTTACATCAGTTATAGCTAAAAATAATACAATAGGCCTTTGGTTTGCAGTAAATATCGCAGTAATGCATTCACGAGCAAGGGATTATAAGAGCGCTGGCATTGTATTGAAGCAATATTCTAGATTTTTTTAAATGTGTTCATCGAATAATAATAATACTCTGCACAATTTGCAAGCTCTGCTATAAGTAATGCCCCACATGGAGGGATTTGGTACGTGCATTGCATGCAGCTAATTTGATTTGCGCACAATTACTTTTTGCTGCTGTATGCTCGTATTCTCAAACATTACAATTACAAACAGTAACTCATTATATACACGCTATGTAGTCGAATGATTTTTCAGCCTTTATTTTAAAAGCTATTTTGTGGAATGTTTCGCTTTCAATTTTATCTAAGAAAAATGAAAGCAGTGTCATAGCAGCGAACATTTCCTGGTAGCGGTGGTATTAAATTAAAACTTTACTACAAACATGCTTTCTTGTTTATACTCGGTGCTAACTCTGCATCCATCGTAGGTTCGAGCATTGGAATTTATAATCTGTATACTATGGATCAGTACTAGCGCCGAATGTGCATGAAAATTCATAAAAGTAGGCACTCGACCTACAAATCGCCAGTCAAACACATAAATATCGTGGTTATCAATGCAAAAGGCATATTTCGTTAGTTTGCTTCCGTGATGTATGTACTACCATAGAAAAATTCAAATCCCAATCTTAAAAATTACGGGATTTATGGTTAATAGCGCGTATTTTCATTGATTATGATATGTTCTGCATGTATTATATCTGCAACAAAACAGAACGGATTGATTGATGCAATGCCGCGCTGCTATTTTTGTTTAACTTGTTAAGTTGACGTTATTTCTTAGTTGCTATATTTAATAGAAAATATTTCTTTTTACCTTTCGTTGCAATTGTTGATTACAAAATATCTATTCTCAAACGTATGTATAATTTTAAGATCAATGCTAAAATTTAAAAATATCTTCCAAATACATAATTTACAACGCATAAACAAGAAAAATTTAATCCTTTATAAAGTTATCTTAATAAAAAAATTAACTACTTTATTACTCTCGAAACTTGCACACACGCACACACAGCAGGTAAAATTCAACATTAAATCGTTTTTCTACACTTGTACTTACTTACATATAATTGAGCTGAGAACGAATCGTATCTACCTTTCTATAATGCAATTCGTTGCAATTTATATAAAGTAATAAATACAAGTGGAATTCGTTCTTGGCATTGCATAAATGGCCCTTTTCGTTAACTCATCTCATGCTGTAGTATTAAAATATGTAGAAATAAGATACGTAATGAATGCGTTGCTTATAAATAATCAAAGAATATCGCATCCATTTGCCTCGAAACCAAAATAATTAAACTTCACTCAAAATTCTGATTCTGGCAAAATTAGTGCAAAAGAAAATTAAGAATCAAAAACAAATATTTTTTTAAGAAACTAACCTTTATAAGTAACTAAATACATATGCATTCGTTCACAACTGCATACAACCATACACACCTACATAAATACGTATAATTCAATACAAAACAAACTCTTCTATAAGATTTTGCATCAATCCACTTATGTTACTTATGGAATGTTTTTGGGTTGATGGCTGTGAGGTGCAGAGTCTATTTATTCTCTTGGCAATCGTACGGGGTGAAGAAGTGTAGCAGATGAAGGGAAAATGACTTGTATTTAAGTATTAAATAATGAAGAAAAAATACAATATACATACATATAACTGAATTGCACATTGTAGTTGATCTAAGAGTGACATACATACATAAGTTTAAAGAGAAGTTGATTTAACCCTGAATGATATTATAAATCATAAAGAAAATATAATATTAATAAATACTTATATACAATGGAATATATATGTACTGGGACCTTTTTTATAACAATACAGACATTTGAAAGGTGGGTTAGTATGTTTAAAGTCCTTAAGACTAATTGTCTTTTTATAAGATGACTTTTCACACTGCAAGTTTTTACCTGGAATATTTTTCTCGAAATGTATTTTCATTTTCCATTCCTCCGCGCTATACACCAGCACAGCCATGGTGAGTGGCTTATAGAGTATGATTTGTGTACGCAGCGTCTGTTAATCAGTAGGTGCGGCTGCAAGCGGGTGTCTCGAGCACGCGGCTCGCTATATAAACGTGTACGCTGGTTTTGGGACCCGCTACGTAAAAACAGGCTCCAATGAAAAAGAGACACAAAGCCTTGGATTAGAACCGCCCTTTTGATGACGACCAAGGCAAAGTTTAAAGGACTACGATTTGAGGGCATACACCTGGAATGTCCGGACCATTCATGGGGCCTCAGCCCAGCTGGTTGATGTCCTCGTAAGGACAAAAGCTGGCATCATGGCCATTCAAGAAATACGTTGAGCCGGGCAAGGCAAAAAATGTCTGGTGCCTTGCGACGTCTACTACAGCTGGCATGTAAAGGAGCGCAAGTTCGGTGTTGATTTGTGGTGGGAGATACTCCGTCGCCCAGTACTGTCGTTCACACTGGTGGAAGAGCGTGTCTAGCCATAATCCGCATTAAAGCGAACTCTTGTAAGAACAAGATTGGCGATACAGTGATTAATGTCCAGAACGTACTTAAATTCTGGAGGGAATACAAACAGTTAGCGCATTGCGCACCTTGGCTCTCACGTCACTGTTGAAAATTTCGAGAAAGTCGAGAATTCGTTTACTTGGGAACCAGCATTAACACCGATAATAACTTCAGCAATAAATTTCAACGCAGTATCATTGGACTGATTAGGCAATTAAGGATTAAAGCCCTCTCGTACGAAAACCTCACTATAAGTCACTTATCATGAGGGCTCTTGGAGTATTCGAGAAAAATATTTTGCGGAAGAATTACGGGTCTTTACACGTTGGCGATGGCGGGTACCGCAGACGACGGGACGATGAGCTGTATGAGCGAATTAAAATTCAGCGGCTCTGCTGGCTTGGCCATGTTGTTCGAATGAACTCCTACTCTCCACTAGTGGTAGCAGAGGAAGAGGGAAGAAAGACCAAGTGGAGAAGGACCTAGCTTCACTTTCCTTCAAAAAATTGGGCAAACGTTCGAAAATTGCCTTCGATATCCAATATGAATATCGACCTAAAAAAGAACTTATAACCAGCCTTAGATTTCCAACGTTCATAGAATATTGGAAATACACTCGAGCTCAAAAAAAAATTAAAGCCATAGTAAATAGAGAGAGAGTGAAATTCAGCTCATTCACGAAGGGAAATATAAGACAATAGCGAAGGAAAAATACATTGGGTAACGAAGGTTCCGTTTCTCTGGAGAATGGCCTAGTTTTCGAATCGAATACTAACCTATTCCACATTAGTTATCGAAGGTGCGACTCGAAAAAATGTATGTATGTTTTCCAATAATTTACGAATTGTTAACCAATCCCGATATTTATTGGGTTGGCATTTCCAATTGGGGTCAGTTGGGCATAGAAGAGAAACGACTGGCGTGCTTTGTTGGACTCGGCAAAAACCGCTTAGGCGGTTACAGTGCCAAATAAGAGAGAGAACTTTACTCCTCAACTGCCTACTCAGTCCAAAGCATTGTATAGGCTCATGATACAAAAAAGAAGGTAGGTTCAATAAACAACTTTTGACGGATAATAAAATTTTTTGAAATAAATCGGAGTATTTTCTTTCCCATATTTATACCAATGTAAGATTTCAAATCAAAAACCATTATTAGTGCTTGATACTTTTTTTTTACTTACGTGGTTCGCACCTTTTTTTTATTAAAAATATTTAAAATGTAAACTGTTAAAGGAGACTTCATCGTAATTGTTCTTTTCATTTTGTAATAAAAACCACGCGCGCATTATTCTGTTATTTTTTTGTTTTCTTATTTTGAATGCAATCTTGCGATTTAAAAGTCGAATTCTAAAGAATGTTCTTCCCAAATAAAACCTTTTTATATTTTGGTTCAAATTTACTTTTACATTTCTCATCAGATTTTGCAAAATAATTAGGCTTTGTGATTAGCGCATCATCGTTAAATTTCACAAATTTTTAGTTTATGCAAAACACCTGAAGTCGGCTTGAACAGATCGCCCTCCGATAAACAACTAACGGATCGTGGCTTAAAGTACAAAACCGTGTATCAACAAAATGCAGAACTGTGTATGTGAGGTTGCATAAATTATTTTGTAGAGTAAAAACACTCATTTCAAAATGGTTCTCTTTTTTACAAAGAAAACGCATTTCAGGACGAATGGATAAGCCAAGAGCTTGTGTGAGCAAATCCAATTTTTGGCAAAAAATGTCAGTTAGGCGGTTTTGCAGAACGACGATACGCGATTTTGTACTTTAAACGACGATATGTAAGTATACACTTTCTTCATACTTTCTGAAACCTAGTCGTCAACCCCATATTCGAAATCATGTAGCCGGCATAATTTTCTAGTTCATCATATTCCACATCTTTGAATGTACTGATAAAATCTTCTGTTTAAAAAAAAAAATATTTCTTCTAGTGATCAGGTAGCATGAATTTGATGAAATGTCATAATTTTATTAAAAGTCAAATGGTTAACAACAACAACGAATATTATTAAATGAAACTACCTTCTTTTTTGTATCATGGTATATACGATGGTCCATGATAAAAAAATAGGAATGTAGAACCGCTGAGAAAAATTTTTCAAATTCTTGACGTTTGCAAGCAATTTAATTTTAAAATTTTACACACAAACTCACACACACATTAGTTGCGTTCGACAAGTCAAAAATTTGTAATAGTTTTCCCAAATTTTTACTGGATGGCGTTCGATAACGACCAAAAATTATCCAACACATAAAAATTGAGAGAGCAAGCGTTCATTTTGATGCAAGAGGAGCGTTCATTTTGTACTGGCAAAATTTTACTCAGCAAAAATTATTAGTTGCGTTCGATAACAAAATTAGCCAACACCAGCCAACAATCAAAATCAAGAGAGTAAGCGAAAATTCTCTCCCAAAGAGAAGAAAAAGCAAAAAAGTAAACGAACAGGAAATTAGCCATCACTTGCAAAAACCGGATGAAGAAGACACACCAGCTGACTTTGTTTATGTTTTATTTGTAAACAAACTGAAATTCATGTTGCCTCCATAGAGAAAAAAGGAACGTTCAATGTTCGCCAGGAACATTTCTAGAAGTAACAACTAGTTACTAGGCAGCCAAAATGCATATAAATACCAAAACTCTGAAAATGCAATTTTGTTTGTTTACAAAAATTCCAACCATATGTTTTGTGATCATATGTTTTCGTGTTGGATAATTTTTGCTGACTAAAATTTTGCCAGTACAAAATGAACGCTTCTCTTGCATCAAAATGAACGCTTGCTCTCTCAATTTTTGTGTGTTGGATAATTTTTTATCGTTATCGAACGTCATCCAGTAAAAATTTGGAAGAACTATTACAAATTTTTGACTTGTCGAACGCACCTATTATTATTTTTTTTATTATTATTATTATTATTATTTTTATCATGGTCCAAAGTTTCACTTATTTCTCGCGCAGAGAGAGAAATATAACAACAGCCAAGTGGAAGAAAACTAAAGACATTTTTAACAAATTCAATATTTTTTGTAGTTTTATTCAGTTTCATACATATATTTTATGCACTCAATAAGCGCCAAGAATGGATCTTTGTTAGCTATTTTAACAGATTTGCGCCATAGGTATTCAACAAGGATATCGGCGAATTTACCGGTGTGGTTGGTCCGCGTGGAGAAAAAACGCTTAACATCCGCCCACTGGGACTCAATTCTCTGGGTACGGGTTACATCTACAACATCGAGCAAAAGGTGGGTGAATCCAAAATCAGAAAGGCCCTCAAATGCACCCAAGCAATCCGTTCGTATGGTGGTACCCTCGGCGACATGCTTTTTAATAAGCGGAATGAGGACTTTCGCTGACCGCACATTGTCTGGGCATACCTCCAGCCGTAGGTCCTCGCTTTCATCCTCAATCATGCCCAGCAACCAGTGATCCTCCCCCTGGTCGCCTAAAAATAAAATAAAATTTAAAAAATATAACTCGCAAAAAAACCCTGACAAAGCTTACCATCATTTAATTTTCTTTTACCGAATTTTCTCTTGTTAATCTGCACTATCCGGCCTGGACCACCAATTTCTCCAGACGCATCTTGGTGGTCCAACTGGTATATTATCACCGCCTCGCGGCAATAGTTATACCAGTCGGTGATAGTACTAGATGACAGAGTTTTCCCCTCCTCGCAAAAGTCCTTACGTTGGACTGTTTCCTTGGTTAAATTTTCAACGAAGCAGTACATGAGATAAAAAATATGCGGTACACTAATTCTAGTTTGCTCGAACCACGTCCCAGCCGCAACAGAAACTCGGGGCCTCGACATGCAGGTTCCTCTACGGCATACGAAAAAACCAAATTTCCCGCCTTTTGACCTATTCATAAGCGTTTTATGTATAGGACAGACCATGGTTTTAGGTATTAAACCATGCTTTTCTGCAAATCGAGCCCCTTGGTCGGGTGTTCGTAGCTCCGATACCATTCTTTCGTAATTCCAAGCGTCATCTTTTCTGCGGGCAGCGCATGGAGACGGCTTATCATCTGAAGAGAATATAATTCTTATTTATTTATGTATGTATGTATGTATCACGGTAGTATGTATGCAAAATGTATTCAACGTCTTAATAATACGTTTTGTATGTACATATCGAGCCCTAACCGCCAAAATAACGTAAGCGACACTTTTTTCAAAATTTTATTTTTGATGCAGAAATATTCCTAAAGCATCTAGATGCATTTCTGCATCAAAAAGAAAATTTTGAAAAAAATGTCGCTTACGTTATTTTGGCGGTTAGGGCTCGATATGTTGTGTAGACTATGTAAATGCAAAAAATGGACCACCGTACATATTTTTCTTGGCAAATATGTACATATGTATATAATTCAGAAGTAAAATTGGGAAATTTTCACAAATAAAAGTGTGACTATTATTATTTTTTTACATGCACGTTGCAAAGTTTGGTGCGTTGATGTTTGAGTTTATAATTAACTGGTAGTATTTGGAGAGGAGAATCGAATGTATTGTGGCCCGTTATAAGTATTCGCATGCAATAGAAAAGAAGTTATTAAGTGTCAAAGTGGGGTGACTCCTTTTTTTAAATCTGATACTCGCGGTTTTTATAGTATACTGTAGCTGGTGCGTACCTAAAACTGTTGTCGGACAATTTTTGTAGTGTTCTGAAGCATAAAAGGAATCAATTTAGTCGTGACAGGCTTATGTGCTCTCATTAGAAGATAGTTAAAAAAAAGGCGTGAGTACTAGGTACTCATGAAATTTGATGTGTATACATTGCGAACGGCAAAGCATAAAAGTACGTTTACATATAAATATAATCTCAATCAAAGCTCGTTAGCTGTCAAATTGGTTGTGCTTGTTATTCACACAACTCGAGGAAAAGTTAAACTTCTTCTCTGTGCCACCGTGGTCACTTTTTTTTGCTACACATATTAGGCCATTTAAATATATTTTAACTGAATATTTTATTAAAAATACCTTTACAAACCTATTTTCCTTACTAGCGTAAATTTTTGTTTACTTTAACATTTGACATTCCTCCTCTTCTTCGCAAGTAACGGGTGATTTTTTTGAGGTTAGGATTTTCATGCATTAGTATTTGACAGATCACGTGGGATTTCAGACATGGTGTCAAAGAGAAAGATGCTCAGTATGCTTTGAAATTTCATCATGAATAGACTTACTAACGAGCAACGCTTGCAAATCATTGAATTTTATTACCAAAATCAGTGTTCGGTTCGAAATGTGTTTCGCGCTTTATTTTTGTTCAGCGATGAGGCTCATTTCTGGTTGAATGGCTTCGTAAATAAGCAAAATTGCCGCATTTGGAGTGAAGAGCAACCAGAAGCCGTTCAAGAACTGCCCATGCATCCCGAAAAATGCACTGTTTGGTGTGGTTTGTACGCTGGTGGAATCATTGGACCGTATTTTTTCAAAGATGCTGTTGGACGCAACGTTACGGTGAATGGCGATCGCTATCGTTCGATGCTAACAAACTTTTTGTTGCCAAAAATGGAAGAACTGAACTTGGTTGACATGTGGTTTCAACAAGATGGCGCTACATGCCACACAGCTCGCGATTCTATGGCCATTTTGAGGGAAAACTTCGGAGAACAATTCATCTCAAGAAATGGACCGGTAAGTTGGCCACCAAGATCATGCGATTTGACGCCTTTAGACTATTTTTTGTGGGGCTACGTCAAGTCTAAAGTCTACAGAAATAAGCCAGCAACTATTCCAGCTTTGGAAGACAACATTTCCGAAGAAATTCGGGCTATTCCGGCCGAAATGCTCGAAAAAGTTGCCCAAAATTGGACTTTCCGAATGGACCACCTAAGACGCAGCCGCGGTCAACATTTAAATGAAATTATCTTCAAAAAGTAAATGTCATGGACCAATCTAACGTTTCAAATAAAGAACCGATGAGATTTTGCAAATTTTATGCGTTTTTTTTTAAAAAAAAGTTATCAAGCTCTTAAAAAATCACCCGTTATAATCGATGAAACTGGGTTGGACACCAAAAAGTTATCGGTTTAATCTGAGATATTTTTAATTATAATTTTGCATGGCTAATCTCTTTTTCTAATAACAGATTAGGGAGTCAAGCTCGAAAATTAGGATAATATTTTTATATATAAAGGCGATTCAGTTACACACATACAAATGTGGGTTAGGTTAGAAATTGAACATTAATTTCACTTAATTTTATTCATTTTGCTGATTTAATTTTTTTATTCATTTTCATTTTTAATTCTTTACATGACATTATCGGTATGATTGATAAAATATACTTGTATATACTTGTGACTCAAGGGCGTTAAAATATGATTTGATTTGATATTTTTTCTTTTTTTGGTCATGAACCGAAATACTGCTTAAAAACGAGTCCGAGCTCATCAACAGCCGGTTATATATGTCACGGTTACATACTTCACAAGAAAACTTCCGGGAATAATTTTCTCGGTAGTGTTTGTTGTGGGCCTCTTGAGCCTCCCCGATAATTGTCCTATTGTTAATAAGGAATTAGTATCTTGTGCATTGTGGGTGTCATAGGATGCCATGCCGTCGTCGATTCGCCACTTCTCGCTCGCTATGTTTGAGTTCCGGTCGCTTAACGAAAAATTTTGCATATGAAAGCAACAACAAAGTTAGCTAGCACGGATAGACGATAGCAAGTTTGGCTGTACCTCATTGAGTTCGTTCGTTTCGCCACTTGCTAACTGATGGCGTATCGATGACGGCTAATAATCAATTGTAGCGCATTTCCTCTTACTATGCATATGCCTAAATGTATGCAAGCATTTGGCAAGCGAACACAGGGTGCTTCAAATGAAAATAAAAATTGTATGCTGAAATACACACGCTAAGCCCTTCGAAATTTTGTGCTGGGATATGCGTTACAGCTTCGCAAATTTTACCCCTACCGAAACCAAAGATGTATACACATCAAAAAAAAACTTATTTAAAAGGTTACGATGCGTGCACAAAAGTGAAAATGCATATTTTATATCAGCACATCGTTTGCAATTGTAAAATTTAGCCAACTACATGTGTGCGCCATTGTACAATATACTATTGAACTATGATCCCCGTGCACCACTTTTTTATTTGTTCTTTGTAAAGTTACAGAGCGAAAAAGTAGGAAAAATTACAAAAAAAAACCAAATACTATTATAATACCCAAAGGCATTTTTTGTCCATGTCATTAAATCTGCACCATTCGCTCGATTTTCGAAATTGAGGTGCCAAATGACTTGGGCTGCAGATGCTAAGCCTTACCCTTGATTTTTGGCAATTTATATTCGACATTCCTTTTCTTATATGAAAAAAATTCGAAGCACCGTCAACAAAAAAAAAGTAAGCGCGCCTGGGCCACACTGGAGAAGTGAAACTTACATTACATATATTTCTATCTAGATCCCTACCTCTACCCCTGTTCGTTCTAATTACATTTATGTTATTCTTATTTATACTCTTTCGATAAGAAAATCGATAGTAACATCCAATAAAATATCGATAACAACACCGATTAAAATATCGATAACAAAATCGATGAAAAATTCGATAAAACTTCGATAGCAAAATCGATAATAATGTTGGTAGCAAAATCTATTAGAAACTCGAAAAAATATCGATAAAAATAAC